TACATAGGTTCACTAGTAGTGTGGCGCGAGCTACTTATAAGTAGTATATGGCGTGAGTGTCAACGTAATGTCTGGCAGCAGCAGCAGATGGGGGAAGATCAAGAAAGGAAGAATTAGAAGAACACAATGGAATTTGTATGAAACGCATGAATAGTGACAATGGATTGATGTTTTGCAACAGGAACAGTCCAGTTCGATATGATGAACTGATATTTTGCAAATTAACTATTTACGACATGGTTTTCCGCTTTTACTGAGTAACTCTGTAATTTTCGTTAAATACGATCAGGTTGCCCCACCTGTGTTCTCTTCACTACATTTAATGTCGCTGCCTGCTCGAAGGAAGGAGCTCCCGTGGCCGAAGGAGTTGGAGGACGGGGACTTGCGGAGCTTCCTGGAGAAGTTTGAGGCCGCGGTGAAGCTGGTGGGTGTGAAGGAGCACGGGGTGGATTTGGCGGTGCTGGGGACGCTGAGGGGAGGTGAGGCGAAGCAGGCTGATGACGGAGTTCGACAGCCCGGTGGACAGGGAGGAGGCGACGCAGTGGTTCCGGTTGGCGAGGCCGTCGGTGACCCGTTGGTTCCGGCTGTGGAGCTCACGATGTCGCTGCGCCGTGCGCTGCCGAGTATGGATGGTGTTAGTGGGACATAGATGGATTTAAAGCATGATTACGTCACTACGCGCTGATTGGCTAATTCCCTATCCAATCAGCGCCTGATCGAAGCTTGGAGAACAGGATAGAAAATTCTCGTATTATTAGCTGCGTGCTGATTGGTCAAATCCAGTCCAGTCGATCACGTGAATTTTCTTCCAGAAGTTTTCTCATGAAAAGGCTATAAATAGACTAGCATTGTATTTATCTTTGCCTTCTTAGCCTTCTTCGCTTTCAAGCCTTTTTGCCTTGGCTTTCGCCATCACCTCCAGCTTCTTTTCCTTGCTATTTTGGAATACAATCCTTCCTGTTCAACCGTGTTTTGATTTGTGTTACTTGTCCAGTGTTTTGTGTCAAGAATACTAAGCAATAAGATTTAGCCGGGAAATATCTTAAGCAACCGTTACAAAAGATGGGTGTCGGGGGCACAGTTGTTGGCGTCGCAATTTATCGAGAGTGTGCCTGCCGCCGTGTCCCAGCAGCGGGAACTAGTAAACTCCATACGTTGGATAGATGCCGTACCCATTCCAGACCAGCGGGCAAGAACAATGACCGAAGTGGTAATCCGGCACAATGTAGCGCGTCACAGAATACGGAAGGTGATATTAACTGACCAGAGTCCCTGTTTTGAAAGACTACGACGACAGCTTATTAAAAGGGGGGACGAGTGTGGTGCGAGCTACTTATAAGTGGTATATGACGTGAGTGTCAACGTAATGTCTGGCAGCAGAAGATGGTGGAAGATCAAGAAAGGAAGAATGGGAACACAGTGGATTGATGATGGATTGAAGATTTGCAAATTAACTGTTTACGATATGGTTTTCCTATTTTACTGAGTAACTCTGTAATTTTCGTTAAATAGAATTCGGTTGCCACACCTGTGTTCTCGTTCACTACAGTAGTATTAGGTATTCAAAATATTCTGTTTCTAATGAATCTTTTATGTAGACGTTTAAATACTTGAATTCTATCTATATCATTAGTATTCAAAACTTTTCCACGCTCAAAATCTGATCAGAAATAAAAGACAGAAAATTTCGCAAGACGTTTTACATAGAACGTTATATTCTGTACAGAAAACAAATGCATCTATGACCAACTTTGAGATTTTAGGTACTACAAGTAAAGTGTGATGATTTGTTCATGTTGAAAGCTCCCGAAGAACCCTGATTGCAGTTGAAGGTATTTGAAACGATTTCTTATCCCGGTTTCTTGAGAATTTTACAAGAATATCATTGAGGACTCTCAACAGTATCAAAAACTAATACACTCATTGTCTGTGGTGGTGTTTCGTTCTCTGAGCTGGTTGTTTTGGTTGTGGAGCTTTCATTGTTCTTCTGAACAACATCATCAGCACAAACTTCAGATAGAAGTGAAGCATTCGAATTTCTCCACGTTTGACCTGTAGCTTGTTCTGCTAACCTCGATCTTGATTGATTGCTGTTGGCCTTTGACCTGTCGTTGTTTGCAACTTTGTTCTGATTGCATCCCCCCCTTTTGATCTGTTTCTTGATCCTGTGTCACCTATGATTTTCTTGATTGGTTGATAAATTTGGTCAATGTCGATGTGTTTGTTGATTGCTGATTGACCTGAGTGCCAAGCTTCTAAAAATTCTCTAGTGTTCTTTGTCCTCCCCCTACCCAGTATTGCCATATTGTTCCAATCGAATGTATGTCCATAATTGTCGGTGTCTATTGATATAAGCGAAGCGTTGTTGTGGCGTTTGACTGCTAATTGATGTTCACGTAAACGGAGCTGAAGAGGTCGTCCACTTTGTCCTATGTAGTGTTTTTCACAGTTTGAGCAATTTATTTTGTAGATGATATTTGGTTTTTCTTCCTTTGTCATTTTGTCCTTTGGTCTACATAGGACTGATTGAAGTGATGCTGTTGGTTTGTGTGCTACACCTATTCCAAATGGTTTCAGTAGTCGTGCTGTATGCTCCGATATGTCTTTGATGTATGGTAGGATGATGCGTTTATTTGTTTCTGTGCTTGATTTCGCTTCTGATGATGGTTTCAGTTGATGTTTTTTGATGAAGTTGCGTGGATAGCCGTTCTTTTGGAAGATAGTCATCAGGTGTTTTTCCTCGTTTTTTAATGCTTCGTTGGTGCTGCAGTGTGTCTTCGCTCTCTTGAACAAAGTTTTTATGCAGTTGATCTTGTGGGTTCTTGGGTTGTTGCTGTCGTAGTTGAGAATTACGTCTGTGTGGGTTGGCTTCCGAAATACTTGAGTTTCTAGTTTTCCTGAGTTAGTCCTGGTGATTAGTACATCCAGGAATGATAGGCTGTTGTTTGATTCCTTTTCCATCGTGAATTTGATGTCATCGAAGACGTTGTTGATCTGATTTTAGATGTTCTCCAGCTAATTCCTTTTGATAATGACGAATGTGTCGTCTACATAGCGAACCCACATTTTTGGCTTGATCACTGGCAGAATTGACGCTTCCAGTCTCTGCATTACAGCTTCGGCGATGAGTCCTTATATTTGTGATCCCATTGGTGTTCCTTTTGTTTGTTCGTAGACTCTGTTGTTGAATTGATCTACTTCAGGACAGAAGCGTGTATAAACCTGTGGACACAAACCCTATAAAAAGTTGGACAATCAAATCTCAAAGACTCTAAATAAGCTTGTCAAAGCAGGACAAATATCAAAACAAGATCAATCACCATCTCACACTCATTGTCTAAAATCTCTTTGTCTGTATCATAAAATTAGTTACTGTTTATTGTGCGAATTGTATAACCAGTACCATAGAATAAAAGATTGAATTTTCAACTGATTATTTGACATTGACATCTTAATTTTGAAATCGATTACATCATTAGATCAGAAGTGTCTGTGACTCACTGGTGCTGGGGATGATAGATCCCCGAAATTCGCTTGATAAATGCCTTATTTTGGTTTTCACGTTTGCCAGCATGGGCTGATCAGTTGACCTTGAGACTTCAATTTCCTCCAGGAAAATCCATGGATGTGATTGGCTGCTGTGTATTTTAGTGTGCTATTTTCTTAATTGTCGCAAGGACGTTTCTATGTTGTATAAATAAACGAGAGTTGTATGTTTGATAGTACTGTGATTGCTGGATGTTTTTAGAATATACTTTCTACGCTTACAAAGCCTTTTTACTCCATTTGGGGATTCAAGGTAGCCTACCTGGACGCTGGTAAGAGTCTCGTTCGCGTTTATCGACTAAGTGACGAACGTAACAACTGGATATAAGGAACCATGTGAAGTTGAAACGATGAATTAACTTAATATCAGTATAAGTTGGCCATAATTGCAGAATGTAGTAGAAATGGGGAAATTTCCTCTTGGAGATCAGATTTGTACACTTGAGTATGCAGAGGCTGATTAAAACTCCAAAGATTTCTGTTATAATTCTCTCTTTTATTACAACCCAGCTATTTCGAATGCTTAGTATTCTCGGACACTGATTTACTTGAGACGTTCTTCCAAATCAGGAAACGGTTGGACAGGAAATATTGATTATATTCTAGTAACAAGGCTAGATGGATGTCAGACGATCCAAAGGAAAAAAAAGATGTTACATGACAAGATCCTAGAATGTTCCTCCACTACTGGCTACCTAGCGCTGATTGGATATCAAAAAAGAACCAATCAGAGCGCAACAACGCGATCATGCTTTCATGCAATCTATGTTTCACAAACAATTTTATTGGTATAAATATAACACACGTGAGATCAAGTAAAAAAACTTACGTTTTACCACAACCTTCAGGACCAACCAATAGAAATGATTGTTTCGACAGGGAATTATTATTCAACCAACAACGAAATGCATCAATAAATCGTCTGACATCCGGTGTAAAAACTAACGGTGGATGACCAGAAGCTAAACCATCAGCTATTGCATTTGCTATCAATGGATCTTCAGCGCATATACTGGATGGTATTTCAGTATATCGTGAATTAAATAATCCAGTAGAATATGGAATAGATTTTTTCCCAAGGATTACAATACTAGTTTCTGTTGAATAGGAAATTAAACGATTTGAATTATTTGGATCCACCTATGAAATGAAATGAAATTTAGTCAAAACATCTTCAACTTATGTTCATATATATATTATTTCTATGGAAGAGAAAACTTGAAACAATAAATAACCAATGGTTGTGTTACGCCTGCACGTAAACACGTCAACTCGATATACTTGAACTATTAAGAGTTTACCTAGACGGAAACGCGAGAGTGAGGATCGAGGATCTGGTGACACGGCATGTTACTCAAATCCGATTATCCCAACCCCCATATTGAGAAAAAGTAAGAAGACTTGAATGTGAAATAGAGCCTGTATTCTACAAGCATCCAGAAAGTACGAGGTCCGAATCCAGAAGAGAATAAGGATCCCGGACTAGGGATCCGGGAACAGGTCCTGGTCACAAAACGTTACACATAATGCGTATTTATACATTTTGGTCGAATAGGAAACAGCATCGAAGTGTGTGACATTGACAGTTAAGACGACCAATAGGAAGTAATATTTGAAGTGATACTGATAGTCAGGACAACCAATAAGAAACAACATTGGAGCATGTGACATTGATATCTAGGGCGACCATAAAATTGACCAGTAGGAATTAACCAATAGGAATTGACCAATAATTCTCTTAGGATATTGGATGAATATCCTAACAGTTTGCGACTGGTTAGTCATTGAGAAGTAGTGAAATCCATGTTTGTCTAGTCCCTAAAAATGATCATATCCTGTTGATATAGTTATCATACAGTCGCCAGTCTGTATGACTCAAAACTGCTTTCACTGTGTTGAGATGTTAGGTGATGGAAGATAGTCAACATGAAACTCTAGACCTAGGCATCGTGTTAACTGGCACTCGTCAGTAATCTGTGACTGGCATTTTGAGATTTGAATAGATCTTTGGTGATGTTTCAGACGATGAGGCTGGGTCAATCAGGTTCAAATCCTACAGGAAGCGTCGGTTACCCATAGAGTGCAGGTATGCGTTGTTGACAAGTCTCAACTAAACTAAAACCTAGGTAAAAAGTTTCCTGTCAATCTCACATTTAACCACATAACATAGTAAAACTAATGTATTGTCAATTATCAATTACAGAAAAAAGAAATATAATTTCAAAAGCCAACTTAAGATCTTACACAGATTTTCATTACGGGGTTGTGAAGATTGTTAAGTTACAGATTTTTGAAAACATGAATCGATCAATGTTAGATCACCATTAGAAACCTGGAAGCACTGGGCGGCCGTTCCATCCAAATATGGGACTCCTCAGCAGTGCGACACCACGACTCCAGCACCACGCAGGATCCGAACCCAGGACCCCCGGTATTAGGCGTGAAAGACCCAGCCGTTAGACAACTGAGCCGGTATCTAACGATGTCAATGTCTAACATGATCAAATTCATGGAGTTGCGCAACCTCATACACAGTCTTCGGTAGTAGTTACTGCCTACACCCGAACAGGTTGAACTTCACTGGTCACGTCTTCCCACTAGAACTCGGAGAAGATTCCTTACAAAGCTAGTCACTAGTGAGCACAGGTAATTTGCATTATGGGATTGTGAAGATTGTTAAGTTACATATTTTTGAAACCATGAATCGATCAATGTTAGACATTAACACCGTTAGATACCCGCTCAGTGGTCTAACGGTTAGGTGGTTCGCGCACAATACAGGGGGTCCTTGGTTCGGATCATTCGTGGTGCCGGAGTCGTAGATGCGCACTGCTGAGGAGTCCCATACCAGGACTAATACAGATTGTCTTTTTATTTTGAGCGAATCTACCCAAGGTCGAGTGTAGTCAGCAGTAAGTAATCTTTTTTAGGTAGGCTGTAATTTTTTTTTAACTTTTATGAAAATGGGACATTAAACGATCATATATATATTTTATTCGGAATACGGTTTAATGTGAGAAATCCTAAATAGAGATGAATAGAGGAACAGTATTTCAATTGGAGTTCTTTTATCCGTTAATTCACTCCACCAATCTCATACGTTATCAGCACAGATTCATCATTCTTGCGAGATACTCCGTTTACAGTTAGTTTTTTTTAAGGGTTTGCTTTGAATAAGGATGATTTCCTTATCTGTGCTTCGGAATTTCTCTACCAACTACTACCGACTACTTCTTAAGGAAAGATAGTAAGATGATATTACGACTGCTTTGTTTCGTCATTGCTCACAGAGGAAATAAGAATACTGTTTTACATATCAATAACTATACTACTGAAATTTATCAATTTTTACACTTAAATCATGAATGAATTATGGTTAGACGATTATTAGAAATCTGGAAGCACTCGACGGCCGTTTCCTCCTGGTATGGTGTAGTGCCTCCACATATATTCGGGTTCGCTTACATTTAATTTCGTTAAGCCCTTTCGATTAATTTATTTGACCAAGCCGTTTGTACCATTCGTTCTTATTATTGTCTGGTTTGTATGAGCTCACGTGACTTGTCCCATTTGTCATTTGACCTTGTCAACCATTCGTCGCTTTTATTCATGTATGTGCATACCTATCTCGTTGGTTATATGTCTGTTTTATTTTTGTCTGACTATATATATTCTTAGTCATGCTTTATCTCTTGGACTTGGCTCACTAGCCTTCTCCACGTCGTTTCATCCGTTCATTCGCCTATTCATCACTCGCTTGCCTGCTTTCCGGCGCTCGCATGACGATTTTATCTTATAGCGCTTGTAGTCTGTTGTTCTATTTGTGGTGTGTCACAAAAATAAACATATTCAACACTTTGTGTTCACCTTCTGATTTATAAACCGCCAGACGCTAGTTAGTAACGATGTGTCTGGGCGAGCTAATCAAGATGATTAAGATCAACACGTCGAAATTGGCCACCACAATGGAACTCATCGTCAGCGTGCATTCCCGATTGCTGCAACTGGCAGTATTCAAACCCTGGACATTTGGTCTTGCGTGCGAATGTTCAACGTTTATACCACTGAGCCAGCCAGAGTATAATGAAAACATTATCACTATTAGTTAGTAAAGAGGCATGGAAGTATGATTGACATTACATTTTTAAACTCTACATTTGCTTAATCAAATCGTAGGTTAATGCAGTTTAACCATTGTTTTCTTGCTGTTAGGTCACATTGGATAGATTTACGTACATCCAAGATTAGATTAGTGTTTGAAGACTACACAAACAGTCAGTTAGTTAGATCACACGCAATTGGTTAGGGAATCGGGCGGGATTCGATAGTTTTGTATGAGTCTCAAAAAACTGTTAAATTCAATTAGCTTATCAATTCCTGATAACACAATTGACTTGTAGTGGAACGCTTCTACGAAGAAAATACGATTAACTACCAATCAACCAAGGGTACGGCATAATATTTTACCCGCATACTACATGCATGCTACACTTTTCTCCTTTTCTTTTTTTTGTTATCCCGAGCAAATACCTCCGGCCATTCCCCTGTTGTACCGTCGACTCCAGTCAACCTTGGCGAAAGCTGGCCTGATCACCCACGCTCTTGTCAATGCACTCAGTCGATTTTCTGGTTACGAATATATCTGTTATGCGAATGGTTTCGCACTGGTCGTTTCTGGCTCCTTCGCTCAATCTGGTTCCGTCCTACGTCTGCAGCTTTATCTGGTCCGAACGCCTACGGACGCAATTCTCAGACTCTGTATATGAGCCACGCTGGTGTGGCATGCCAATCTGATAGACAAACTTGGCACATCAACTCTAGCAGCATACCTGGCACGTTACTACTGGTACAGTTCAACGTAGAAGACTATCGGTGACAACTCGAGCTTCATTCGCCGCTTCCTGTTTGTCAACCCTTTCGCACTACAACCAAATGTTAGCCGACCAGCCCCTCCCCCCCGAACGCAGCCGCTATGTATCGAAAGTGTGAACCCTTTCTAGGCGGGGGCTGCTGTAGTGGAACGCTTCTACGAAGAAAATACGATTTGTGAAAAATAAACCTTATTCTACTCGTTTTGTTTATCTGTACCGAAGACACTTCTACGACTTCTTGCGCGCAACGTTCTCTTCGCGTTGCTGCCATTTTTCTCTGTTTGCTGCTCCCCATGTAATGCCAACGTTCTCCTTCAATAAAATCTTACACCATGGACATATTTTCATTTCGATGATGGCGGGATGTTAGGGAACATTTAGTGGTGAGTATAGTCAGTATGGTATCTGGATTCGCTCACTACAATTGGTTAGCATAGTCAATATGGTATCTGGATTCGCTCACTACAATT